GTGAAGGGGATTTGGGCAGTGCTGGGGTCCTGATGTGGAGTTTTTCTGCAGGTTTCTCCATGTCCGTGCTCTCCCATGGACAGATGGACTCATGACCTCTGCTTCCTTTCTCCTTCTTTGCAGCTGCGCTGTCTCCAGTCTCTTTGTGGACACCTTGACTTGTAGGAGGGCTTTTGATCACTGTGGACAGAACATCTTTGTCCTGTCTTGATTTCTCTTTACCTGATGGTAGAACAACTGACTCCCAGGGGCAGATTTCTGCTTTATCAGTGGCTTCAACCTCCTGCACCTCCCAAGGACAGATCTCAGCCTTCAGGCTCTCCTTACTCTGGGATTTCCTTGATGTTGATTTGGGCAGCACTGGGATCCTGGTGCGGGGTTTTTCTGAAGGCTGGTCCATGTCCGTGCTCTCCCATGGACAGACGGACTCACGATCTCCGCTTCCTTTCTCCTTCTTTGCAGCTGCGCTGTCTCCAATCTCTTTAGGGACACCTTGACCTGTAGCAGGGATTTTGATCACTGTGGACAAAGCATCTTTGTCCTTTCTTGGTTTCTCTTTAGCTGACGATGGAGCTGCCACTTCCCAGGGGCAGATTTCTGCTTTGTTGGTGGACTCAGCCTCCTGTGCCTCCCAAGGACAGATTTCAGTCTTCAGGTTCTCCTCGCTCTGGGATTTCTTTGAAGGGGATTTGGGCAGCGCTGGGATCCTGGCCTGGGGTTTTTCTGCAGGTTTCTCCATGTCTGTGCTCTCCCATGGACAGACGGACTCACGATCTCCGCTTCCTTTCTCCTTCTTTGCAGCTGCGCTGTCTCCAGTCTCTTTAGGGACACCTTGACCTGTAGCAGGGATTTTGATCACTGTGGACAAAGCATCTTTGTCCTTTCTTGATTTCTCTTTAGCTGACGATGGAGCTGCCACTTCCCAGGGGCAGATTTCTGCTTTGTCGGTGGACTCGGCCTCCTCTGCCTCCCAAGGACAGATTTCAGTCTTCAGGCTCTCCTTGCTCTGGGATTTCTTTGAAGGGGATTTGGGCAGTGCTGGGGTCCTGATGTGGAGTTTTTCTGCAGGTTTCTCCATGTCCGGGCTCTCCCATGGACAGATGGACTCATGACCTCTGCTTCCTTTCTCCTTCTTTGCAGCTGCGCTGTCTCCAATCTCTTTATGGACACCTTGACCTGTAGGAGGGCTTCTCTCCACGGACAGGACACCTTTTTCTTCTCTTAATTTCTCTTTGCCTGATGGTGGAGCGGCCGTCTCCCAGGGGCAGATTTCTGCCTTGTCAGGGGATTTGACCTCCTGCTCCTCCCAAGGACAGACCTCAGCCTTCAGGCTCTCCCCGCTCTGAGATTTCTTTGAGGGTGACTTGAGCAGAGCCGAGCTCCCTGCATGGGGTTTTTCTTGATACTTTTCCATGCCCTGGCTCTCCCAGGGACAGATCTCCTCCTTTATGCTCTCCACAATCTGGGATTTCTTGGCCTGGGATCTTGCAATCTCCAGGCTTTTCCTCATGAGCTTTGCAAACTTCCCAGTGTCCCTGCTCTCAGGCCGACGGCCGCCCATCTCTGCCAGCTTTGCTTTGACATCTTCAACTCCTCCAGACCCTGCTTTGTTTTCCCCTTGGGAAGTCCCACACGTGTCCTGGCTTGGTCTCTCCTTCTCCAATGGAGCTGCAGGTTCTTCCCAAGGGCAGATTTCTGTTTTAGCAAGCGGTTCACTCTCTGTTTCCCATGGACAAATGTCAGCCTTTTTGCTGCCAGTGCTTCCTACCTGCTTGGATGGGGTTCTGGGCAGAGCTGGGTGTTCCACTGTGGGCCTCGCAGCTGGAGCCATCTCTCCTGTGTCCCCTAGGACCACTTTCTGCAGGGAATTCCCTTTCTTCCCTTGGGAAATGTCACCACTATCTGATTTTCCTGCATCAGATGAGGCTGTTCCTCTTTCCCAAGGGCAAACTTCTCCTCTACCCCCATCAGCTCCAGCCACTTCCCAGGGACAAACCGAAGCCCGTGTGCTCGCCAGGCTCCTTGGGGTCACTTCTGGCAGCTCCAGGCTTTTGGGGGCAGGTTTTGGTGGGGGTCCCTTGCCACTGGTGCTGCCCCGGCTCTGGCTGGGTGCTTGCAGGCTGCTCTCGTTCTCCTGTGCTCTTGGCAAATCCAGCGATTTTGGGCTGATGCTCTGGACCTGCTTGCTTGCCCTCCTCTTCCCTTCCTGCCTCTCCTGCTCTGGCTGAGCCCCCTCCACATCCCAGGGACAGATTTCGGCTCTGCCAGTCTTTCCCCATTCCCCACTCTCCCATGGGCAAACCTCATCCCTCCTCCCCGCTTTCTCTGATGCTGCTTTTGGCAGCTCTGGGGTTTTTGCTGGTGGTTTCTCTGCACCCAGCTCTTCCCTGGGGTGGTAGGGGTCCTCCTTGCTACTGCCCTTCCCTGCTGCAGCCGGGGACACCTCCGTGCTCCAGCTCCTTGCAGGAACCCTCTCAGTGCCCCAGCTCCCCCCAGCACTGAGGGGTTCGATCTGGCTGCCCCCCTTCTCCCTGCCCGGGGAGACCCCACTGTCCTCCTGGGGAGCGATTGCCTCCTGGCGCAGCAAAGTTCCTCTCCCTGCTGGGATCCCCAGACCTCTCCGGGGACAAACTTCAGCTCCCAGCTCCTCAGTGGCTGCTCTCTGTGCTCCAACTGTGGACGTGCTGCCTTCCTGGAGCCCTTCGGCCATCCTGGTCCCTTCTTCCTTTGGTGCCATCGGCCTCAGCATGGCCACAGGAGTGTCCTTCCCCGGCTCTGCCATGGGACCCTCAGTCCCTTCCAAGGGACATGTCTGTGCTTTCTCATAGGGACATTCAGCTGCTTCTTGGTGGCCAAGGCTGGGTGTGATCTTGTGCACCCCCGAGGGTGTCTTCAGCCCCCCTCCAGCATCCACGTCCCCCTGGGGAGCACTGGACTTCTCTGCTGGTTTCGCACCATCGCTTATCCCCGGGGCCTGGCTGTCCCGCTGTCCGGCCCCACTGTCTCCCCAGCCCGTGGCTCCCCATGTGGTGCCAGCATTGTTGTTGTGCTGGGACAGGACCACATCCCCTGGCCATGGCTGAGCACTGGGCTCACTGCCGGGCCCCTGCCTGCTCCACTCGGGGCTCTTGGCAGCAGGGTCCTGGCCAGTCCCCACAAGGGACA